GGAGGTGAGATCTCCGAAACCTGCTCACATGCTCATGCGCACACATGTACACTCACACACACTCACACACACACACACACACACACACAAACCTCCACAGAGCTTTGTGTATGAAAGGCCCTGATGGTGGAATTTGTTCTCAGATGGCTCCATTTTAAAGCACATGAATGGCAACATATCAATGATCCTCCTCTCTGTCTCTCTGCATCTCACATTTGCAGTTACACACGCACACAGACACACACAAACACACATTCGCCACCTACACACCAAAAAACTTACACCGCTCACACACCTGGTGCAGTCCTCTCCTCATTTCCAGAAAGTATTTATTCTGGCTGCTGCACAATCGTCAACCACCGGCACTATCGCCGCTGTCAGTCCATCTTTTAAAAACCATAATTATTATCACCACCATTGTGTCTTATCATCATGATTTGGTGGCTGAAAATAACACTGCCAAGTTTAAGGCACAGGATGAAAATGTGTGTGTGTGTGTGTGTGGGAGGGGGGGGGGGGGATAGGGAGAGAGAAGGAGAGAGTCCAGCCAACCTGCATGAGATGGCAACCACTTCAAAGACGCCGGGCCGCACCGGCGATCTGTTCCACGGTGTGTGAGGGGTGTATGAAAGGCAGAAATGGCCGCCGTGTGAGTCCCTGCCAAAGCTACCTCGGGGAGAAATGTTGGAAAAATACGATTTTTCACACAGCCATCTCAGGGGGGGTGAAGGGAAAAACGGGGAGAATGAGAGAGAAGATGAGAAACTGAGGGGCCGCATTAAAAAAAAAGGATAGATGGATGGCTGAGCAGAGTGGGGCTAATTATTTCACTCCACTTGCGGGTCCTGAAGGTTTTGTTGGGTCAGAAGTACAGCCAAGATGCAGTGCTGAAGATTGCATTTGGCTTAATTGTGCAGTTGTGTTTTACACAATAGTAAACGGTGGGATTCTGGATAAGGCATGAGGCACACGGCGTGAACAGTTTCTGTTAAGGAGGCCTGACTGCAGGAGGGAGCAGAATAAAATTATTTCAGATGACTTAGGCAAGAAAACATTCGTCTTATGCCGGAAATTCAACCTTAATGTGGCTGTGCTACCAATCAAAGGTGCTCAATTCATTTGGGTGAGGTTAACATTTTTGGATGCCTGAGTAATGAACAAAAAACTATGCCAGCCTTAACAATAGCTGTCCTGACTCCATGTAAAAAAAATTCATCATTTCACCAAAACTGTTACGGTGAAACAAGTTTGAACAGGGCGCACACTGTGTGACACACCCCAAGATTCTCTTGGCCTGGCACCTCGCCTGTCAACTACTGATCTTGCTCGACAGGCTGGCCTTTAGATAAACACCGCACCAAATGTAACACTGAACTTCCCGGCCTGCAACATTTTCGCTGCCACACTGCTCGCACCGTACGCCACCTCTGTACACTAAGTAACCCAATGCCACTGGCACCCCTCTTCCTACATGGATCCTTATTCATGCTTTTTTTAATGGCCTGAACCACACTCAGTTAAGGCCTCGCCGCACGGGCTATGTGAATTTAACAATGAGGTGTGGGCTGGTATACAATCAGCCCTTTGTGTCACACAAGGACTGATCCATGGGGAGATTTTCTTGTGGTTATGGTTCTAATACAGCAGAGTTTACCACAAAGACCGGGAAGCATAGAGTTACATTACAACACACATACACATACACACACACCGTGTATGACTCAATGAGGCAGCGCGTTGAGCTCCTTTCAAATGTCTCACCCACTTCCAACTCAACTGAAATGATACTCTAAAAATTTATTTAATAACATGGTACGGTTCACGCCCACCTCCCAGCTTGGCACCAATAACAGTCTTGGCTTTGATTTGACTGACAGGTTCTGTGGTTGGCAGGTTTTTTCTCTGCAACAACCGCAGCGCAACCAACTGTGAAATTATAGGCCCACAATCAAAACAAAGTGAGTATTGTAATATCACTGCCAATTATGAGCTATTGTCTAAGTGTTTCGTTCACCTTAAAAAACACAGACATACTGTATAATTGGTCAGCTGACATCACAGCGCACATGTGGCCTGAAATGTGAGCCACTCTGGGCCTGTTTGTGTTGTTGTGTAGGTATGACTGGGTGTCAAATCATCACAAACATTTTTTGGCAGGTGACCCTGTAATAAAGTTATGTAACTGATGAGTATGGATGAAAATATGCATTCACATGAGCGCACAGTGTGTCATTCATCTGAGGGACCGAAATCAAGTTGCTCCTGTAAAGTTGGCTGGTGACAATAAATGAGCAGAGGCGGACTGAATGAAAACTTGTCAGAGATGCTCTGTATAATGTCACTATATGCAGGACACTTCTGTTTATTGTTGATGACACTGAACATCCCCCCCAGACTGAATATGAGATGTTTTCTAATCAATATATATCAAATGTAACAATATACGACTTCATTGTGCCACATGCAATCAATATAATGAATAAACAGCGATAAAATATCCTTGTGCCAGGAGTTTTCAATCGCATAGGCTAGATCAACAAATGCACATATTTTTCTGTAGCGTTTATGATTTATTATTTGTGTTGTCAAGGGGGTTGGGGCACATATGAAACTGAGGGTTTGGGGGTCCTCTGCTAGAAAATTCTGAGCATCAAGCACTTAATTTCTTGCATTCTGGTGATTGTTTATGTACCAATATGTGCCTTTCTGCATCAATTTATGGTTAATTTTGTCAGAATCAAAATTAAAGTGCTCTACTACTTCTTCCATTTTCTTTTTTGGAGGTGGAAGGGTGGACAAATGCACATGTCCTGAATACTGAGGAGGACATGTCCCCCGCACCCCCACCCCCCCGGAAATCTACCTGTGTGTGCTGCGTTTATTATTTTTAATGTATATTTTATTTATTGGTGTGACAGATATTGCAATTTCAAAAACATATCCAGAAAGTGTTTCAGTGTATATAAACCATTTAATTTCTATGTCCTGACCTCAAGGACTATAGAATTGTATTATTTAGTATAGAGTCAAACTGCTTAATCAACTGCAGGAGCCACATTATTGGTGCAATAGCAATACGGTGCTGTATTTTTTTAATTTCTTTTTTGTTTTGAAATTTAAAAAAAAAATCTGATCAGGTGCATACTGTGCTCTTCCCCCTCAAAGTGTTCTGTTTCTATATTTCTACAACTTCCGATCATTACCTCAGAATACTTAAACAGGTCTTTGGGAAACCAAAAGCTCAACAGATCAACCCTGTGAGCTACAGTATGTTATATAATCCACCTCAACAGTAATCTCTTGGAGTGATAATGAAGATCAATTATAATGTAGGTCACAATTTTAGGCCATTATAATTATAATTTGAGGTCATTATAATTCAAAGGCTTTGAACTGCAGCATGGCAGAGACTCTTTAATGTCAAGGAATCTTTTGCTAGACAGTAATCATCTGAGAAAACTGCAATAAAAACTGATAGTGAAAAATAATATTTATTTCTCTAAATGCTGCAGGGTTTAAAACTATAATTAGATCATCACCCGACCAGCTGAGAGTCTTCCTTTTGATTTTCTGCTCAACATTAAATGCTGTACGGAGGTGCTGCTATTCATGCGTTCGCACTTGTCCTGGGGGCACAAAGACGGTCTGTGTGTCACTTCACCTCCCCACCCCCTTGTAGTCGCTATAAAGTGTCATCAACTACGCAAATGAAGTGCCCATTGATAAAAAAAAAAAAAAAAAAAAAAACCAGCAGCCGTCTCAGACAGATAACACACAGCCCGTTTGGAGAACGGTGCAACCCTCCTGCGCCACACGGACATATATAGGATGCTTAAAGAATATCATAATAATAATAATAATAATATTGATGATGATGCACACCCCCCATATGTGGTGTCTATATGCTGGGCTTTTCAGATCTCCGCAGTCTGCGGTCGCATGTGTGTTTTATTCTGTTTGATCTGAGCTGCGCAGGAAGATCAGCCTCCACTTTGTCAAATCTGTATTTACTGGGCCACTCAAACGCCTCTGCAAACAATTCAGCCTGCACAATGTTAACCCATCAGTGAGGCTAAATCTGTTTAAATTGGGAAAAAAAGATGTTTTACATTACATCCGAGATATCATTATAACAGCGTTTAGGGAATTTAAAAAAAAAAAAAATACGCGCAAGGGAGACCGAGAAAAGTGAAGTTCATAAAAAATGCTTGACATTTTTTTGTTATAAAATATGGAGATGCATTGAAAGACATCACTGTAGTTGTGCAAGTGATATAGGACAATAAGCATATTACAGTATTGACGAAATGTGGTTAATTCGTGTGAGTTTAGATGCTTCACAATTATCAAAATTGGCAGGCAAGCAAGGTGATGATACACATAACACACACATATTCTCTCTCTCTCTCTCTCACACACACACATACACACACACACACACACACACACACACACACACACACACACACACACACACAGGTGCGCTGTATCGTCATCGCTGGCCTCACACTCTCAAGAGCCAAATCTTAGTCGGCGCGTCCAGCACAGGGCTGAGCTTTTACAAAGAAAATAAAAACCTTGAACTAACTGCGGGGATTCGGTGAAACACAAGCAATGTTTGGTTTATGTTCGGTCCTATAGACTTTACCCTATAGACCCAACAGAGGGGAACTATTGAGTTACACAGCACGTACCATTATAGCGTGGGGAGATCTGCCAACCCTCTCAATGCCCCATTTTCCTTTAAAAGTTCAGCTTCCAAAAAAGTGAGAGAGGGAGTGAGGGCTGAGGGAGGAAGACTTGGTCTCTTCGCTGTTGCCGGAAGCAAAAAAAGGACCTTTAAACAAGTCGGCCTTAGGCCCAGATAGAAAAAACACACAGCTCTTTCAAAAGTGGGTCCACTCTGCAAGAGATAGGAGATAAAGAGGACAGCGGCTCCGATCCCTCCGTCTACCGCAGTTTGGCCTCAGATGCGCCCATGTCCAGCAGCAAGAAGTCAGGGAGACGTCTGCGTCAAAGTCCCGAGGTGCGTCCTTCAGCGGCCAAACTTGTCCAGCAGATTGGGAGACGCTCAAAAACTCCCCGCAATAATATTAATAACACGATTAAAAAAATAATGGACGGGAGAGGTGATGCAAAGTAAGTTGTGTTTATATTATTTTTCCGTGTGCAGTCTTTGCAGTCGGGCAAGCTTCTGTCTCCAAAACGTGTCCAAAAGCGGCTGTCTCCCGCGCCGCACGTCCGATCTGTTTTACCCTCGTATCTCTCTCTCTCTCTCTCTCTCCTCTCTCTCTTGTTCCAAACGCACACAAACACACACACACGCGCACACACGCGGAGTAACACACAAACGGGGGGACACCCCTGGTCCCTCGCCGCCTCCTCCTCAAAGCTGACGAGATGAAAGAGCAGCTTGCGTTTTTTGCTTCTTCAGATCGCTACAGCCTCGCCGTTAGCAGAATGCCTGCACAGCGACACGTAGTCGGGTCCGGGCTTCGGCGGGGCTCTGGATGCCTCGGTGCGTAAAATGGAAGCTCTCCGTGCGCTCCGGCGGCGACGACAGATAGCCCGCACTTCCCTCCCCGAAAAAAATATCAGCCACTAAATAGCTCACCTCAGCAGCGTGCGTCCTGTTTACACACACACACATACACACAAATAATAGACGTGGAATTAGGGCAGTTGTTTACAGTGAAGGTGGGGGCCGGTGCTTCAGCCGGCAGCGTCGAACTGGTGAATTATTAGGTGAATTATTAATAAAGCGAGCGGTGTGCAGTCTGTCGCGGAGAGAGCGGAGCGGCCAGGGGAGCAGCTGGGGCTTTAGGAGAATTAGGAGGACCAGGGGCTAAATCACGGACGGCGGGGATTAGGGCTGCACTGGCTCCTACCTACCGCCTGCGTGTACTGTAGGTTTCAAGAGTGGTACTGTGGGCACGACCTGAGCTGCTCCCGAGTTTAATTTCCGTAGTTTTAAATGATACAATCTGGAGCAAAGATCAACCAACAGAAAGGGTTCATTGGGTTCAGCGGGTTCATTCAAGGAAAGAGTCGCCCCTCAGTGCCAGCGATCTGTCTGTTTCAATGCAGTCGATCACGTTCAACAATATACAAAAAAAGCCTCTGTCACCATCAGTCACCGTGTCCACAGAAGTTCAGGGGATATGAGGAGGTTCAGAGGGGCTTTAAAAACGAGGACTTTCCACATTTTGGGGATGTAAAATGTAGTCTGGTAATATTGTTATTCACAGTGATGGTAAGCGCATAATGGCAATGGTGGATTTCTAGCAAACTTTAAAGCTTTTATACAACACTTCACCAACACTGATTTATTGTCACAGTGTCTCCCAACAGAATGACGCAGCGAAGCAACGGGATTAAATGTGACTGAGATATTACAGACGTGTTGTATTAGAAGCCATAAAAGATCTGACTTTGGGGAAATAACTCCAGAGCGCAAAATGTGCTGTTTCTTATGAAAGTGCTGATAGTTGTGGAGACTAGAGGCCTGCAGGAGCAGCAGCAGCAGCCAGGAGCAACAGAGCCGTCCAAGACAACAGAAAGACAAGACATGTGGACATGCTCTCTGATTATTAAGGAAAAGGACCAAAGGGAAGTTCAAAACGTTAGTGGAGTTTCAATTTAAGACAGTGAGTTATTTATGTAACCTGCCCCTGTCCTGTGATGAAGAGCATCAAGTTTTGTTATGAATGAATTTGGCCAGCAGGACGTGTAGTGACATCATTGTGCAAAAAAAGGGAATGACACAAAGACGATATATATATTTAGCTGCAGATAAAAGTGATCTCACCAAACCCAGAGCAACAATTTTAGGAAGCATAAAATAAGAAGCAAAGACAGGTTGAGAACCCTCGCACACCTTTTGGCTCTGTACCTACAGGCTAATCAAATGTTTAAAAGTCACCAGTTTTGTTTCCCATTTCAAATTTCAGGCTTTGCTAAACAAATAATCAAGAAAGCAAAATTAATATTTTTGCTCTTACAACAGATGAATGTAGTAATATTGATACACAATCTCTCAGCATCGACCTGTCTGTCTGTCTGCGTGCACACTGTGTTTCTATTCAGTTGTGCGTGTGTCGTTATCCGTCATTTTTAAAATCAGTCGTCTAATGACATTCCTCCAACATGACGGCTTATCAATAATTAAACGTTGACCTCCCCACACATTTGGCCACATCAATTATTCATGCGCCATTGAATTTGTGATTTAAGTTTTTGTTTCAGCCTAATTTGGATTACTCCATTTCACGCGACAGTGTGTCCGCGCTGGGATGACGTGTGAGGATTTTATGGTGTTTTTTAAAAGAATTTAAGGTTACGGAGGCCTGGATGGCTCCTTCACTCAACAGCAGATATAAAATGTCGTTTTTGTTGTTGTTACTTTTTAAAATGTATTTTTTTTTAGCATTAAGACCAACAAAAATCAATCAATAACTTCTTCACCTGCCCATTAATACTTCGTCAGGTCAGTTTTAAAGTGAGAGATTTTACTCCATATTTCGATCTTGTTTTTAAAATAAAATTTTCTTCATTTGTTAAAAATGTGCAAGAGCTCAACGTGGGTCTTGGGTCTGATATTCTATTATTATAAAAAAAAATAAGGTTTGATGTTATTATGATATTTGTATTCATTAGGCTATCAGTTGGGACATGGAACAAACTACAAGTAGGTGTAGTGACACGTTTACACCGTTACCAAGGTAAACAGGTAGTTATAATCATGATGAATAATTAGCCTAAATGATGACGATAGATAGTGAAAGTGTTGAACATATTAAAAATAATGTATTTTCATTTTATTTATTTACTTCAACAAAAAAAAAAATAAAACAGCATAATCACCAAAAGCACTAGTAGCCAATGATATTTATACTAAATAATAATGATAAGATCAAAAACAGTCTAATTTATAATTTCCTGATTGAATGACATCAGCCTGAAGCGACTGCATATTATTCACAGCTTATTCCATGACCTTCCTAAATTTGTTTTTTCTTCCATTTTGTTTGAATATTAATTCTGGTGTCTTTTTACAGATGCTGCTGACTGGGAGGCTCACACATGCCCGACGGCCTGTTTGGAGAATGACCAGTTGATTGGAAACACACCAAAATGTGCCTCTAAACCCCGAATAATCCCAGGACACGATTTTTTTCTTAACCCTTAATGAATTTACAAACATCAGTCTGTACAGTTAGACCGCACTGTGTACTTAGCAGCACCAACAACTAAAGCCCGGAAGTTGCAGAAGGCCAGACAGATTTTCTACAAGTTTCAGGTAACAAAACGAAAACAGGAAATAAAATCGAGCGACAAGAGAACGAAAAAAGGTGTTGTTTTTTTTTTTTTAGTTTTCCAGTGTGCAATCGAAAAGATGATTTCTCAGCATGACGATCAGATGTTATGGACATATGGATGACCACTAATCACATGTGCAATCCGAGGCTTTTTTAAGTGATGTCCTTTTAACAAAAAAAAAAACAAAAAAAAAAAAAAAGAAGGCCTGCAAACATATTCATAAAATCGAAAAACTGCAGGAAAAAAATATACTGCCTCTTATGCATTTCACCTGCAAGACACATCCAAGGGGAAGCTGCGCGCAGAAAACAATACCATTGTCCAATAATTGAAAAAAAAAATCACGTAAAGTTTATTTATAAACTGAATGTTATTATGATGAGGATATTCGGGAAAAGGGGCCTAAATAAAACAGAATTACACCTGAAATACATGAGGATGAACATTGCCGCATTTAATATACAATAAAAACGCGACAGAAATATTAATTATTAAAGTATGGACTAAAAACTGTGATTTTTTTTTAAAAAAGAGTAGCTTGTTTAATTTAAAAAGACCAAAACACTTTATAATTTGCTCATTAGATTAGAATCATTACTGCTACACAGAGGAAACTAGTTGAATTTGTCTATTAATGTGGCTCAAATAATAATTTATTCTCCCTTATTCCGATGCTGATGCACCATATGCTTATGGCAGTTGACCTCGTTTCAATTAGGCAATGATTTCCATGTTTTTTCTGCAAATAATGTTGATGAGAATTTGGACTGTTGCTCTAACATCAAACTAAAACCTAAAACCATTCTTTTTATGATAGCTTAACCATCAAAACCATTAATATTATTGTGTTTTGTGAAGGCAGGGGACACAATAATAAAATAACTCAAATGTCATAAATCCTTAAATTACATTATCAAAACAAAATAAAAGAAGGAGCCAACGTAAGAAAAGTTGATGAGTTTTGCTCTTTTTAAATGTTTCTTGGAAGACAAAATAAAATTAAAAAAAAATCACAAAAAATAAATTCAATTGCTATGTTCCAAAAGTTACAAAAACAAACTGGAGGGAGATTTGTTGGCGTGCAGCAGCTCTGATCATGTAAGACAACTTATAAGCGTCAATTAGGCTGAGCTTTGGGTTAATGAAAGCCCTGAGCGGTGTATCTCACCACAGCCCCCTAAACCTAAACCAGCCATTACTGCCGACCGCAATGGCTCTGATACCACACTGTTTTAAGACCCAGCATTATGTGGGCAATAAGTTCCCTAAACCTCACTGTGAGAGGAGAAGGGCACACTGTGGGATCAGACAGGCAAAGTTCAGACAACACAGAGAGACTTTTCTCTTGCTTGTCAGTAAACCCCAAAATGCTTTTTTACCCCCCTCAAAATTACAAGTTTTAGATCCCCGGCTGGAATAAAACTGCAAACCATGATTGACATGTTGAAAGGTAATTATCAGAGAAAAGAGCAGGCGATAAATTGCAGGTGATAAATTGCAGCAGATAAATATTATCAAAGATGCACCTGGCACCAGCTCTTGTTTACAAGTTTAGAGGGACAAGTGAGAAAAAGAAATAGTCAGATTGTGAAATCAGCCATATGAACTTTAATCAACAGGTACACATTTTATCAAATAAATTATTAAATACTTAAGTGTATCATGAGAATAACAATATAAGGAAACATCTCATTATTTTTTAAGTAGTTATAGAGAGAAAAGTGCCTTTGAGAAATTCAGAAATCCATGGAGCAGATGTTTTACACACCTGTCTGAGTGGCAGGAGCACAACATCAAAGTTAAATGTCTCGATACCCAAATCAAAATCCAAACACTCTGATTTATGTCTAATGTGAAATAATTTATAATTACAAATAAAGATAAACTGAAGTGATATAACTCCGGGTGAACCAAGGTCAAAATAACACAAATGAAAAATCAATGTCCTCAGAGGCGAGGGTGAAACAGAAAGACATTCACTAACCCTTATTCCCTAAAATAAAAAACAAACAAAACAAGAGGAAACAATGCAAAGGGAAATAGCAGCTTCATTGTGCTATTTACAAAATGTAGATATTTTATCTATAAATTTGCAGAGCTACTCAGGCCGAACAAGATGACAAAAAGAACTGTGAACGGTCAGTGGATCTAAGAAAAAAGCAGACAAGCTACATATCTGAGCTGGAGAATAGAGAATATTATACCTAAATGATAAGCCAAAAGTTAGACTCCTAACAGTGCCAGGAGTCCACAAAAGAACACTGCACAGCTACAAAGTACAACACAATACAAATAAAAACCAAAGGCCTCAGTCCTGCTGCCACGCTTTACTCTGACTCCTGTATCCCAGCCTGCTCTCACTGCCCTCTGCTGCAGTCAAGTCAGGGGAAAATTAAATACTTACTAGGCCTTATACAAAATATACTCTGCACCAAGACCATATGTCAAACTCAGTGGAACTCTGTTTTTTCCTCTCTACAATCTTCATTCCTCTCCCCACTGAAAGAAATGGCCCGGAGAATTCTGTGTCTCCGTGCGAGGAGTGCAATAAGAGGTAGGAAAGGAAAGGAAAAAACAAGGCTCTTTTTGTCTGTGGCGGCCGAGGTTTTTATCCCCGCATTGCCGAGTGTTGTCTAGCATTACAAATCTCAGCCCTGGCCTGGATGGACACAGGAGGGCTCTGCTGGCCCTGCTCACACTGTCTGCATCCTTTACGCTCTGCCATGCAAATAAACCCGAGTGAGGGAGCAGCTGAGGAGGGAAAGCGAAGGAGATGGAGGGTTTGTTTGAGGGGGGAGAAAAAAAAGATGGAAGGAAGGAAAGGGAAGTGAAGTGAAGGAAGAATGAAGGATGGGACTGCTGCAAAAGAGGAAATGTATGTGGCAAGTAAGGAAGGAAGGAAATAGTTGGTCTGAAGTAGTCGCATGGAGACAAAAAGAGAGTAAGTCTGTGTGTTTGTGTGCAACAGAGACAGAAAGAAAGAGAGAAAGAGTGGGTACTAACCGGCCGTTGGAGGGGTGAGGAATGCCCGGCCCTGGCACAGGGGAATGGGATGGAGGGTGGAGTATGTTCACATCGCTGCTGCCAGACGAGCACATTCCCACTACACGGTCATGGAGACTTTTTAACCTACAGATTTGGAAGTAACAGCAGGAGAGTTTTCTCACTTGGGTGCCATAATACAGGTCTCAGTCTATGTTTTATTAACCGCTGCAGAATAAGGCCTCCAAAATTATTACAGGTGATGCTGAAATCATCTGCTGAGGCCAAAAAACAGACCTGAATAATATGGTCTTTTCTTAGGGGCATTTCTATTAAGAGGTTGACAGCAGAGATAGACAGGATATTTTAGAGTCCACATATAAGTAAAAGAGGAGTGCACTTTCACTACAAAAAAGGGTATGTTAGACTAAAAAGTAAAACGTTGACTTCTCCTTTTCTACTCAAACATGTTTAGTGGGAAGAATTAAAAAAATGAGGGTTTACCAAATACACTGATTATCTTACGGTAAAATCCTTTATACATTCAATTTACATCAAAATATGTTGCAAAACTCAATACAAGTTAATGAGCTTAGACAAAAACAATCTAAAATCACAAAATATTATAACTTAGGAAAACTATTAGCTTCTGGAATAAAACTAAACGTCTTTCCCTTTGTTTTACATATTGTATCCATAACCTAAAATACACTCCTGATAGCATTTTCTGAAGCAGTCATAAAGGACACCTGTGTGGGCTGATCGGTAATCTATTGTATCTTATACGCTTTTTTGAGTACCGGCAATTATTATTTGACAATATCAGAGAACATTATTTTAAATGTCCTCTAGTTTAACAGCAATAATAATAATGAACAACTGATGTGAGCACATCCCTCGTGTACCCCGGGTAATTATGTAGAAAGTGTGATTTTGAGGTATTTTTATTTTATTTGAGTATTTTAGCAAGCTTTAGTCACTAGAGACTTTGCCGATTAATATTTTACACAATAAACACTTACCCATTTTTAAAAAATATCATCAACTGTTACAAAATAAACAACCAAAATGTATATAAAGTAGTAAAAATGAGCTTCACCTCAACTATCTACAACATTAAATTGATGTTAATGCATCAGTAATAATAATAATCCAGTGATATAATATAGAATAATGTGACACTTTGATACCTAAAGTACATTTTGCTGATAATACAATGCAGGGATTTTATTAGTAATCTGAATACGTCTTCATATTGAGAATATTTCTATGGTTTTAATGCTCATGTCAAGCTCTGCATATTTCACAGTGAGGGGTCAGCAACAAAAGATTATTAAGCTTTAACATCAGTAGAATGCAACGTGAGGAACGTGTCGAGCCGTTTGTCTTTCTGAAGACAGACCTCGCTTTTCTGAGAATTTTTCTGAGGCAATGTGTGCGCAAATGTCTGTGTCTTCGTCAGTGCAGGGGTTTATCAATGGCTGACATTAGGCTCAGCTTTGATAACACTCACCAGACACACACTGTTTGAGTGATAAAGAATGAGCATGAGCTCAGTTTTGAATCTGTGAAATGTGGATTATAAACAAGACAGCAGTCATATTATTATGATGATTATTATTATAAAAAGTTGAACTTTTAGTTCATTAATCAATTAATTAATCAGCAAAAAATGACTCTGCAACTATTTTTTATATTGTTTTAGTCATTTTTCAAGATAAAAATGCCACAGTATTTGCAGGTTTCAGCTTCTCCTATGTGATGACTTTCTGTTTGTACATGGAAATTAAATATCTATAGGTTTGGGTTAAAAAGAAAACAGTTTCAATTCTGGAAAATTTGTTTTTTTGTGTGTTTTTTTTTTTGTACATTTCATAAATTCAACAAATACTTGACTAATGGAAAAAAATAATAGTCAGATGAGGATAACTGTTGGTTGAAGCCCTGTTATAAAATACTAATTATTTGTTTCCTCTTAATGTAATTATTATTATTAAATGCTGTTCAAATAGGAACAACAATATTAAACACTCAACCTGCTGTTAAGGA